TGAATGATACTGAAGCATTCTTCATATTCAGCCGGGTTCTGATCCGCTCTTCAATAGCATTTCCTATATCCGCAAAAAAACCTGGTGCCTCGTCTTCGCGGTTTATAGTTCCCGTATAAACAGAAGTTAGAAGATTTTCATTCACTTCCGTAATATGCACTTTGCCCTGGTGATGAACATCCGGCTCAAAGGTGCTGATCAGTTGCCCTTTGGTTACCCGCATATCACTTTTCTCCAATGCGTTTATAGCTAACCCCAGTTCAAGCACCAATCCGAAAAATAATCTATTTGTACTTTCATAAAGCCCGGCCAGCATACCCTGCGGTGAAGCTTCGCCCTCTTTGGCCATTAGTGAATTAAAATGACGGCATGGGCATTCTCCGACATGGAGATAAGGGAAGCTATTATCCATATAAAACGAACTGGTTTTACGTGCCCAGGTCCATTTACCACACAGGTATAAGGTTTGCCCGCATACAACTACACTATAATCAAGGGTTCCGGTAAACGAATTTGAAGCCTGTCCGGAAATACCACGCTCACTAAAGGTAATAGAACCGGTTAAGCCGGGAATACCGGCAATCGATAAAGTTGTGTTGCCGGTAAGCCGGAATCCATTAGCATTAATATCCCCTTTTACATGCCCTGAAATATTAAAGGGGCTGCCTGCCGGCAATAATTGAAAATCAGCATCAATCGAAAAGTGATCTGCGTGCAGCCTTACGTCAGCATTTATAACCGGATTACCGTTTATAAACCGCAAAAGGTATAAGCTAAACCGACCATTTGCCGCTCCGTTAAAAGCAGCTTTAAAGTTCAGCTCCATATCCAGAAGGCCGGCTATGGTACTACTTTTCAGTTCCGTTGACAATTCCTGAGTTACAGGGTATATCCTTGTTGTAGACGAATAATCCGTAAACGCTACCGGGATGTTCCCCTTCATTTCCAGGTGACTAGCCTCTACCTTGATACTAAAACCCACTTTTCTTCCGAGTATCGTAAGTGAGAGCTTTATCTCTTCGGCACCTAATACAGCGGTACCTTCAGCGGAGAAGATCAGGAGTTTTCCTTTAATACCTCCTCCCAAACTGAAGCGATCAACGGACAGACCACCATCAAAATTGGCGGTTGACCTGATATAGATCAATTCTCCTAACTCCAGGAGATTGAAAGCTCCCAGAAGTTTAATTTGCCTGCGATCGTTTGAGATGAGGGCAGTTCCGTCAATAGCGGTAAGGCCCAGCAAAGAAATATTTACATGCCCCATGTCCACCTCCTCTTCCTTCAGGCCCAGGGTATAATTAAATGCCGCCTGGTAAATAAACATCTGGCCATTTACCTGGCCGGAAATGCTTTCGCTATCCACATCAATATTACCTTTAAGCTCAACAGAGCCCACCTTTATGGTGCTATCACCCTTGAGTTCAAAACGAACAGTACTTATTCGTCCGCTCATATACCCATTCCAGGTAATAGGACTGCCCTCCGGCAAGAGATTAAAGTTCCCGTTAAAACGAAGTCCCTGCTCGTCTATTTCGGTTTCCTGGCTAAAGACAGGTTTTGGATTAATAGCTTCGGCAATCCAAACGTCCAGGGTACCACGGGCACCTATGCGTGAAGCCTGGATACCCGCTTCAAAATAGCTGCGTACCCGTATAAAACCTTCCGCCAGGTCAGCGGTGAATAATGCAATTACCGCGGTTTCGGGAATTACCGAAACATTGGTTTTTAAGGCGGCCCACCCAATCTTTGCTTCACCATTGGTAACCACAGCATTGTGCGGTTTTCCCTTGTATTGCACGGTACCTTCGGTTAAGGTAAAAGTGGTTTCAGCGGAGAGGAACTTCAGGGACATATCGATACCTGTCTTGTCCATATCCAGAGAGCCGCGCAGAGCGAACATCGCAAAGCGTCCTTCTATTTCACCGGAAATGGCCAGGTCATCACTGGTAATCTTTCCGCATATAGGCCTTACGGTACGCAGGCTAAAAAGCTCGTTACCGGGCAATAAATCAAAAACACCTTCAATCTGAAGTGCTTCCTGGTTAGCACTGGCATTAATTTCACCCGAGAACAGGGTATGTCCCAGAACCTGAAAATGAGTCTTACCCCTTCCTTTAAGTGCAAAGGGATGTTCTGGTGGGTCTATCTGCAGGGTAGCCAAAAGGTGTACATCAAAGAGTTCCGCCACCGTTCCGTTCAACAGAAAGCCGGTATTAAAGCGCTTTGAATCCAGAGCCACCAGGCCAAATGCCACGTCAAATGAGGTATATTCTGTTTTCCACTTTCCCTTCGCAAACAAGATCAAACCCTTATCATCTTTGGTAATGGGTTTACCTTCCGGGGAAGGAAGAATCGTCATGAGCGCATTGGCACCCTCAGCATCCAGATCCAGTTTCTGATAGCCATTCAGCGCCAGGAACTCATAGGGCGATACCGCCAGGTAGGCTCCCTGCACGGTGATCCCCATAAAATCGGACATTACTTCGCCTTTGCCATGGCGATATTTCAGCGGAATGGACTGCATCAATTCTACAATGTCAAAAAACTTGATCCCGTTCAATATATAGGCCATCAGCTGATATGCTGAAATGACGGGCAGGCCTTCTTTAAGCCCCAGCACTTTTTTACCAAGGTATTTTCCGGTGGAGATGTAATTAGGACCTACCGTAAACCGCAAATTGAAATTCTCATATTGCTGGTTGGGGTTTAATCGGAATTTCGGATCAGAAAAGAACTTTACCAGGTCCTTCAGCATACCACCAGCTTCTTTCAGGTCCAGGGAGGGTTCAGGGAACTCAAAGCTGGATTCCACCGTAATATCACCCAGCCCATAGTAGTCAATCGCCAACTTTTTGTAAAAAGCCGGTACCGGAATGGGTACCTGGGTTTGCCAGATGATAAAGATCAACAGATCGTGTACGCTTAGTCTGCGCCTGAATTTTGCCGGATTGCCCAGGTATTTGTCCCAGGATTCATCCATAAATACGGATGCCACTAAAGTGGGCAAATCAAACGTATCAAAATCAGCGTCTACCCGCACAGAAAACAGTTGACCGGAAAAGTAAGAGCCAATGGAAAAACCCCGTAATTCAAAGGCCGGTATCATCAAAGAAGGCATAGGTTGTACCATCAACAAGCGGATACCTGGTTCTGCACGAAGGCCAAATTCAAAACTCCCGCCTGGTTTCATGGCTATTTCCACATCAAATTCTTTGGGAATCTTCGGGTTGAGATACTCTGTGAACGACTCCGGCATACGTTTGACCTTACCTGAAATGGCTTCCAGCATATCACGCAAAGCTGGTGGCCATTCAATGCCTATAAAAGTTTCCAGTTTTTTCCATTCCAGCTTCCGGTCGTCACCGGTACCGCTGATGAATTGAGGTGGGTTGCTGAGAGGTATGGGAAGAGTTTCCGGTAAATTTTCCGCTACCTTCTTTAAATTCCCGGCTTTGAGCAATGTTTTGAGTAAATCCAAAGGAATGGCAGGATCCTTTTTGATCTTGAATCCAGCCTTAGCTTCAAAACCTCCCTTGGACATATTGATTTCAAGAACCGGTTTCTTGAACCAGATGCTTCCGTATTTGCCGGGATCACTCTCAGGACCAAATTCCAGTGCCCAATGATCTTTATCGGCTTCTGATAAAACGCTTATAGGGATATGGGTAAGAGAAATTCCTGCGGATACTTTACCGGAGGTCATACCTGCCTTAAAAGTTATACTCAGTGGTTTAACTTTATCTCTTGCCTGGGGATCATAGGTATCAAAGAGTTTGATCTTAGGCTCTCCTGATTCTGAGGCTTCTGTTCCAAACAGCTTATTCAGGTTTTCCGGCAAGTAATAGGACAGTGTAGCCTTAACGCCCACTGATTTTCCGGAAATCACCAACTTCATATCACCCAGCTTGAAGCGCGCTTTGCCGGTTTTAAAAGGTTCTACGGATTCTCCCACAGCGGGTAAGGTGATGCTCGGTATTTCGTAGTCTATAACTTCGTCTTTCCACACAATCCAGGATTCTTCACCGGCTATGTGAAGTCCTACCTTCAAACCCGCTTCCGGCAACACCTTCTTCAATTCGGGGATCAGCTTGGTAAATTGCAGCTGGAAGTCGGCATCAAAAGACCACTGCGAAGATTTATATTGGATCTTGAGCAGATCCAGGGTAAATTTCATTTCTGACCATTCTACTCCACCTTCCGGTAAAAACCGGTACGGCAATAATAGTGGTATGCCAGACATGGTACCACTTCCTTCGTCAGGTTTAAAATGGAGGGAATATTCTTTGTCTCCCGTTTTTGCTTCTATGGTAAGGGTGCCTACCATATCCAGCAGCCAGCTTTTTTCCGTACCTGTTTCCAGCTCTGCCAGTTGCAAACCACCCTGCAGTTCCACCGACCATTCGTAACCTTTCTCCGTTTTGGCCACCTTCACCTTAAGTTCTCTGTACGCCAATCTGCCCAGTCCGGAAAATTCCAAATGCGACTGCGCTTTTACGGTTAGCTCCAGTGATTTTTTTCCGGAATCCAGAGCTACCGCTACCGAGTCCAGCCGTACATCCAACACTTCCCGGGGGATAATCTGTAATTTTTCAGGGAGTAGCTCGCCTAAGGATATGCCTTTCTCAAAGCTTAGACCTCCTTCAAAAAACCAGGCTTTACCGGAAACTCCGGCTTTTACAAACACTTCTGTTTTTTCACCCAGCTCCATCACTCCCATTAAACGAAGGCTCTTATCCGGTACCGAACCGGATTCATAGGAAAAGCCCAAACCCACCTGTGTCAGTTTCACATCAAATAAGCCCACGGATATGGTTAGGTCACTTCCCAGTTCACCTTCAAAATGGAACTTTACGTTTTGCCCTGTTTTTTCCCCTCCTATGCTAAGCCCTGTCACTGCTACTTCAGGAAGATCGGGCAAATCCGGTACCAGGCCTTTTACAAATTGGGTAAGGCTTACATATGAGCCATTGGCCAGTGAACTGTTAAACCCGAGGGTACCGCCATAAAATCCCAGGGTGGTATCAATACGCCCTACGGCTGCCTGGCTATTGAAAAACAAAGATCCTCTTGCCTCTGCATTTAATGTTACATGATCTTCAAAGGGGTTGTAAACCGCGAAATTGAGATGGATATCCCCCAGGGAGAACTCATTGCTAAGCAATGGCAAACGATGTTCTTTGGCAATACTAAATTCCGCTGACAGTGAATACGGTTTTAAGGATTTTGTATGGATTTCCACGGATACCCGCTCCAGGGCCACATCTGTTATACCTGGAAAATCATCGGGCAAGGCACCATCAGGCGATTTTCCGCCCAAAAGCGCTGCAAAATTACTGAGACCGTAGCGGGACACTTCGCCCAGTTCGCTTTCCACGGATATCATTCCCGGGTTTTGTACCGGAAGCATGGCATAAATAGGTATTTTAGGAACCGGAGAATCCGTGAATTCCAATTCTCCATACAGGCGACTGACGGATATGGTACTGAACGAAACAATCTGATCTTTTATTCCTGCATTAAACAGCCCGATGATATCAAACCCGGTGGCTCCTTTAATGGATCCAAAGGATTTTTCAAGTACCTCGGTACGCAGACGCATACGCGGCACATCATCGATCAGTTGAATGGGTCCGCTAAGTTTCATGGTCTTACCGCTCAAAAACTCAGCTACCCAATCCAGTGATTCTTCTATGGTAAGTGTGGCCGTAAAATACAGGCCTTTTTTAATACGGTCATCGTACTCCCTGTGGTAGTTGTGCCGGGCAAATTTTTCCTGAAGGTGTTCCAGTTCCTTATAATTACCTTCTTCATAAGTGGATTGTAATATAAAATGCGGCTCTTTCAGCTTTGTGTAACTGGCCGTTGTATTGGCTATACTTGTATAACTTGTACTCAGCTTATAATCTGTGGTTTTATTATGAATATCCACTGTTACCTGTACGCGGTTCTCTTCATCCAGGTAAAACTCACAACCGGCTACGCACCCTTTCAGGTTCATGAATGGTCCCGGTACCCTGGCAGATACAATTTCTACCTTGTTCTCTTTAAGGCCAGGTTTATCAGCCTGCAATAACTGCAGCTTATCCGAGCCCATAAAATTCCGGAGCAGCTTTGAAACAGCTTCTGACTCCAAACCCTTCCCCGTAATTAAAAATTCTCCGGTCTCCTCATTCCAGGCTTGCTTTAACTTATCGTATAACTCTTTGATATCCATGTGTGGTAAATGCTATTAGGTGAGCGTAAGCGTAACCGGAAGGTGATCGCTGAGAATTTGCCGGGTAAGTAATAGCGCATCATTAAACCCCAAATTACTGGTTCCATTTAATACATTCTGAAAATGATTTACCAGGCTTCCGGCCTTGGCCAACTCATCGTTAAGGTATTTGACCACTTCATCGTATTTCCTTTTTTGAAGTTTGTTTTTAAGAACTCTTAAGGCCGATTCATCAATCTTCATATTGTTAACCGGGGCTGTTTCAATTTCCTCCAACATAAGAGCCCTGTCCTTTTTTCTAATATAAGGGCTGGTGAACATTTTCCCCAGCTTCTTAGCCGCCATTTCACGGATGATCTCAATGAGATCATCCATAACCGCCAAACTACCACTGTTAATGAGGTAATTTCTCAATTTTGCTTCCTTGATCAGCTTATTCGGAATATCCACCACTTTACTGGCCTTATTCCGTGTTGATTTTACTATGAAATTATCATAACACGCATTACGCAGTTCAAGGGTATTGTTATATGAGCCATCCTTGGTACTGTCCCAGTATTTAAGGTAGGTGTTTTCAGTTAGCATTGTTTTATAGCCCGCATAAGCCTTGTAGGCCTTATCATCCTTATTGGGGTCAGCATTAAAATCTCCCGTCACCACCACCTCTTTTATATCAAATGGACCTTCATTTGTTTTAAGGTCAAACCCCTTCTTAATATAATCTGCGGTTCCCGCATCTTCCATTATGCCTCCGGGGTAGCTGTTATTCCCAAAACGCCCGGCCATATTGTGCCACGCCAGCACGGCTGTTTTTTTACCACTCTCATCGCAAAACAGGCCTGCTCCCAGGGGCCGTTCCTTTCCATATTGATAAG